AAAAAATATATTTTAGTTTTAGTAGGTAAAATACTATCATTTAAAAATAATAATATTAATATTTATTTTAAAGTTAGTTGATTTTTAAAATAAATAGTTATTTTAGTGTATGTAGCACACACATTTTAATATCATTAAAAGTTTTTTTAATATATTTTTACATATTTAATAATATGTTAAAGAATATAATATATTTAAAGTATTATTTTTTTTATATAGTCTTTTTTTTATGATTTATATTAATTAATCATTTAATAAAATTAAATTTAAAAAAAAATATATTTTACTTTTATTACTTAAAATAATATTATTTGAAAAGTAATATATGTTTATTGATAAAAAAAAATATAAAAATTTGTGATAAAAAAAATGTTGTCTTAAAAAATTCATTATTAATTTTTTATTTGAACGGTTTCTTTTATTAATATTTTATTATTAAATAACGTTTTCTTAATAAGACATAGCAATTGAACGGGAACTAGAGAAGAAAAAAGAGTAGATACAGTTCTCATAGTTAATTGAACTCAAACTGTTATAAGTTCAGTTTTTAAAAACTAAACCATAAAATAGTATACTGAACTTTTAATAAAAGTAAATCAGTTTTTTTAACTATAATATAATATAGTTAATAATAGTAGAGTACATATCACTTATTTTTTCCCAACCCAACATAGCTAATTGCATGTGCTCTTCCCAAGTGTTATGTGATAATTTTTCATAAACAATTGAACTTTAAGAACTAATTAAGAATATCACATAGCACGACAACTAATATGGAACATATAGTGATTTGATGAAGATGAGGTTGACAACTATGGGAAGGATACAAGGAAAAAGGACAATGAGATTTTCCCAAGTTGTACAGCCTTTAGGTCTGTAATCATTAATTATATTGTCCTTTATTGTGTAATTTGCTTGGGAATCAAAATAAGTACTTCTTTCAACCTCAAATCACAATCTTCTCATATCCTTCTTTTTCTAAAATTTACTTTTTAAAACATATAAAAAATTTGTAGAAGTATTTTTACTGGAATATTCTTATGAATTGTTTTCTCTTTTAGGATGAATAGTTAATAATTAAATAATGATAAGAGTATTTTCAGAAATAAAGATTGATGAAGAAATTCATTATGAGATCAAATTATTATATCACATTAACACCTTTTAAACTTATTGATATCAATCACAACTTTTAACTAAAATTAGGCCAACATTTATATCTTTTAAAATAGCATAGCTAAATCAAAAAAATTAGAAATAAATTAACAAAAACCTAAAATTCATATAAATAATGCGTATTTAATTGACTGGGCAACATGTGTGATAGTTCCTAGAACCAAAAACCCTGTAAGGTTTTGCATCGAACTAATGCAATTACTTTTAGAATTTAACTATTTGGAATTTTTTTTATTAAATTACGAAAATTGATAAGTTATCTTTTGAAGTAATAACCACTTAAAATTATTATATTTATTTTTTTAACTTTTTTATTAAAAGGTTATTTTATAATGGTAGTGACTTTTGTGAAATCATTATTTACAAGGTGTTTTTTTTATATTTAATAAATTAGATTTATTTATTTAAATTTAGGAATTAAATTTACAATTTAAAACTTTTGTTTTTTGTAAATTTTTTTAAATATATTTAAGTGTTTATATTTTATAAGATGCAGTTAAATTCTTTTAGCTACATACTTTGAATAAAATCTTTGCAACTTAAGATAAATTGAGTTTTGTTTATTAAGAGACAGAATACAAATTGAAAAATAATTACGATTAGTATTCGAATTAAAATGGAAATTATTATTGAATACAAATAAATTATTTTTTTCAAGCAAATGTTACAATAGACTATTTATTAGAAAACCTATATTGAGGGAAGTAAAGGTCTGGAACCATGCAACATAAAAGGTAACACCACTCAAGATTTTAAATAAGACTATAAATTATAACGTTAAAAGATTTTTTTTTGTCTTGAAAATACATATTTATGTAATAACCTAATAAAATATTAATAAATTATGAGTAAGACTTTAGTATAAAAGTAAAAATTTTGAAAAAAAAATATCTTAAATGAGTTGGCACAAATCTATAAAAATTAAATTTAAACATCATATATTTTATTTCTTGAGTTGGTCTTTTAAATTATGTTGATGTTATTGGATGATTTTCTATGATATTGTCATGGTCTATTTGTATAATTAAGAATTTATATAACATGATGAACTAATAACAATCCAAGATATCATTTGATAACATAAGTTCATGCTAAAAATATAAATATTAAGACATTTATTCTCCCACTTTCTATGGCAAATAAATAATAATAATAATTACTGCCACTACCTGCTATTTTATTGTGTAATTATAATAATAAATAAAATTTTACTTTTATAACGGAGTTTTTTTATTAATTTTTATAACTTTAATGCAAATTTTAGTACTTTTATAATTATGTTTTTTAATTGTTTTTATTTTGATGAAAATTGGATACAAAGAATAATAATAATAATATAAAAAAAGAAAAGAATAATACAGGCAAATAGAAGATAAGACACTTGTTTATGATGCACATTGCTCTGACTGACGGTTCCCTTGGGCTTCCATGGAAGGGATGATGCAGCTTGCTTATGATGCAACGGTGAAGCTCATGCTGTCTGCACTTGAGCGCAACCTCCTCCCTGACGCCGTCACCAGAAGACTCAGCGCCCTCCTTTGGCTACTCGTCCTTCGCTCTTCTTCCACCACACCTCGGGCTTCAACTTTTCAACCTCCTCCACCTTCGCACAGTATTATTTCTTACCTTCTATTTCTCTCGTGCGATTATGACTGCATTTTCAAAAATCAACCTATGACATTTGGGAATCAAAAAAAGAAAAATAACGAAAACATTACTTTGGCAACGTCTTAATTGTAATAATGTGTTTTTTTGAGTCTTGATTTTGTCCGGGTAAGAACAATGTGACCAGGAATTTATGTTCACGCTCTTTCAGGATGGTAACTTTACCTTAAACGTTTCCTTTGTTTCTGTGCTATCGTAGATAGTGATCCTGTTTCTTGATTATATTTTCGAAATTTGATTTCTTTTTTAAAAAAAAAGCACGAAAATAGACACTACAACTAAGCATGATGTCTCAGTCTCACCGCCTGCAGCACTCTTGAGGCGAGAGAAAAATATCTTTGAACGTTCCGGTTTTGTGGTTTATAAAATAAGATGTTGGAATAATTTTATTTAAACTGGTAGATTTACAGGCGAAATTGATTCTTAAGTTGCAAGGAAGGAATATTATTTTAAGTAAAGTCTTTAAAGACAAAAGACTAGAAGAAAATCACATAGGACCAAACACTTACAAACAAAATCTACCTAAAGGAGTAGGGTACAGGATGAATGTGGGAACTGGGCACTGGGAACAGTCAACATATCTCACTTGATTAGCTACAACAGGTTGCTTACTGATTAAGTTATGCGTTGCCGCAGCTCGCACCGAAAGAGACTTAACGTTGTTCACCACAAAATAAATTTCTGACAAGTATGTGTGCATCAGAAAAAGAACAAATAGTGAAGTACGGCTCACAACATATGGCTTCATAATAGCATTCCCCAAAGCATTGAACTCCTGCAGGTCTCTATTTCTCTTCTGCCTCAAGACGCTGGAAGAGGACTGTGAAGAAGAGCAAGTGATTGAAACTGTACTGCGACAGATCAAACCTGAAAGATGTCATACTGGTCTTGATGTGGGAGTGGTTGGGGTCGCTGGCATTATACATTGCCAAGAAATAATTAAATGCAGAGTTACAGGAATCGCAATTCCACAACTCAAAAGGCTTACCTTGAGGAGAAGTGCCGGTATGGTGCTGATATCCCCTTGTTTGCTTTAAGGCCTTATGCATTGCCATATGGCTCTGAAAAATCTGATTAGGTAGTGACACTTGGGTGAAAATCACATTCTTCTCTCTTGTCAGGGATCTTCAGCTGCAAAATATCAATATTATATTGCTGATATTAGCACGTTTGAAATGGAGGCTTCTTACGACAGAATATTTTCCATAAAAATGTTGAGGTTAGGATTCGTTAATTAATGATTGTGTCAACGACACGTTTTCTTGTATTTTAGAGTCAGCTTTGACCTTGATGCAGCATATGAAGAAACTACCAAGACCTTCTGAAGAAGATATCCAAATGGATGAAAGAAGATGCCTTTTATTTGTGCATTACTTCTGCCACAAAGCATTTGCCTACCACTTTGAGGTGAACCCAATACTACACTGTTAAACAACTTGACCATGCGATGTATATTTGTGATATTATAGTCAATGCATTAACAAGGCTAGGGAGGTTTCACTTTTCATAGATATAATCTAATTTACCTACGACTGCTACTTCTTTCAGAAGGAAAAAATAAGATGACTGGATTACAAGATACTTCTTTACTGGAGGAACCATGCCTTCAGCAAATCTACTTCTTTATTTTCAAGTGAGTTTCCTATGCTTCTTGTGCCAGCTTTGTTATTAACAAATGGTATCTCTTAATCCCTTCAAATGTTGCCTTGTGTTATATGAAGGAAAAAAGCTGTCTCCTTAAAAGAAAAAACGGGAAAAGAATGAAGTATCCGCTATACTTTTGTTTAACACCTTTATGTCCAGAATCAGCTCACTTGTAACCAACTATCTTCTTTGGTGATTTATGTAGGATGATGTTACAGTCATCAACCATTGGCTGGTAAATGGTAAACACTACGCACAGACCAGGTTAGAATCAACTTGACTGCTAAATGATTTTACAGCAATCATGTCATACTCCACCGGTAGTTGATTTGTTTACAAAGCAAGTTCGAACCCACTTCTAAAAAAACAATGAATACATGTTGCAGTGAAGAATGGCTGAAAAGAATGGACCAGAAAATTACTTACATCAAGCCAATTATTCAATCAACTTATGGCAATGATTCAGCTACCAAGTGGACTGCGTATTGGAGAACATTCTTCATAGCTGTGGCGGAACTTTTCGGATATAATAACGGTGAAGAATGGATGGTTGCACACTTTCTTTTCAAAAAGAAATGAAATAAGTCATAACCTAATCTTTTAATTTGAGAATGGCTTCCAAACCTATTTGACTATTTGTCCTAATTAAGCATTCAGGACAAAAAAAGCTGCCAATCGAAGTTGGACATTTCAATAATGTTGTGTACTTTATTACTTAATTTATTTGGCTGTTTGACTTTATTTTTTCTTGGTTCTCAATCCTTTGCACTTTAGTTCAAACTTTAAAATATGTACTTTGGTTCTTCTGTGATGTTATACTTTGTAACAAATATAATTTTATCTTGTTCTTGAATGAAATGATTTTTGCCTCAAATTACGGGGTTTTGGCATTTAAAGTATATGGTAGTTTGATGCTAGGTTGTGGTGTTTTTATATGGGTGTTTTAATAATTCCAAGTTACAATAGTTCTAGGAAAGTCACCCAATCAAAGAACTATCGCAATCAAGTACTTGTGGAACTCACACCCAAAAAGATATTTTGTAGAAGAACCAAACTAAGTATCAAGAGTATTACTAAGGAAATGTCTTTTTTAACAACTCTTTTTTAACAATTTTTTTGACAACACAGACGTGGTGGCTTATGATGGGTTGATTTCAAATACTTTTCTGAAAACAAATTCAAACAAACCAATAAAACAATGACATGTAGCCCATTGTCAAAAAATTGTTAAAATTTGTTGTTAAAATATCACGATCCTATTACTAATATGGTGTTATCTTGTTTGGTTATTTTTTACATTAAATAATTTTGCTACTTATTGAACAACCATTCACCATTAAAACATTATCGCATATTTGTTGTTGTCAACATAATTTCAACATCAGCAAAAAATAATTCGAATCGATAAATGTTAAGATCTACATTTTATATAAATTAAAACATAATCAAATTTATAAATCTGAATAATAAAAACAAAATTAAATAATATAATACATTGTCCTGCGGTTTAATTTGATTTGGTTTAGATTAGTTTTCAACCTATAAATCCAAACCATGTTATTTGAAAAAAAAAAATAGAACACAATACGACGAAGTTAATATTTTACAATTTCTACTTTTTAAATTGGATTAGTTTGATTTTTAACATCTTTACTAGTGGAAATACGTCCCTATGTATCTTTTTTTTACTGTAAAATAAATAATGATTTAAAAGGATAAAATCATAAAATATTAGCCTATTCACAAATCTCATGTGCCACCTAATTATACCTTAAAAACTTTGGTAACGGTGTCGACGCGAATTTTTCCAACTATACGGTCGCTCCTTTCCCTTATGGTTTTTTTCTGACTTTGGTCCTCGATCAAACCTTTATTAGGAGCTTGGATAGGTGTCGTGACGTAATTTATAAATATCAAGCTTTGCTTGGACGAAACATATACTTGAACGATAACCCAAGCGGTAACGACGATGTGGAGACATTGTAGACATATCTAATAAGTGTGATTAATACTTGTTATTCATGTTTATTTCTTATCTTAAATTTGTATTTATTCATGTATTTGGTGTTTTCTTTGTGAGAAGATGTTATATTTTTTTGTTTAGTTCAAATTAAATGTTATTTTATCTTTTTGTAGAATATTTTGCAAGAAAATGAAGATTTGAAGAGTTTTGGAATTTCCTGTCAGTACCCTTTTCACTCAGTCATGATCCATTTACTCGATGAAGAATAAAAATACTCACTCAACGAGACAAAGGAGTTAAGAGCAAATCAGAAGTTGATTTTTCGCTTAGCGAGTGTGTTCTCTCACTCAACGAGAGGTGAATTTTTGAAGGTGATTATTATGTAGTGAACTAATGAGAGGAAGTAGTTCTGAAGTATGGGAACACAAGAGAACTCATATTTTCAGTTAGAGACAACTCTAAGGCATCAAGACTTCGTGCAATCA